ACACACACACACACACACACACACACATATATATATATATATATATATATATATATACCCGATGCAAAAACACTCGTCACGAGTCACGCACGCAGTAGCACTCACTCACTGCATGTAGGCGACGTGGCGCGGCGACCATTATCTCATCGCAATATTACGTCTATTAGCTTAATTACGGTCCGGTCATGCAACCCTCCCTCTCATCCGCGCAAAGAGCTGCCACGACCATCCATTTCCGTGCCAGCTGACAGCATTAACGGCTATTAAGATCAATGAAATGTATCCGGGCATACGTACATATGCGAATGTGCGAGAGAAGCCCCTCGAAATAGCCGACGGACAGCGAGCAGCTATAGTATATTTACTGTCATATGACGTGTACGTGGCCACACTGCGACACAGGTGCGTGCAGGTATGGCTGCGGGATGCAGGATGCGGTTGCTGCGAGGCGCGATCGGATCGATACGTCGCGCAAGATCGAATCTAATTTCAGAGCCATTCAGCCATGGAAATGAATAGCTAGTGAGTTTGTACGTGCTGCATGCATGCACGCGACTCGCGTCACGCGCAGCACGCGTGCGGGTACCTCAGTGTATCGTGACGTTTATTTAGCGCGATGAGAATTTCGCCATACACGCCGCTGCGGCATACAGTCAGTAGCTTCCTTTCAGCTATAGAGTCGCGTTTCCGAGGGGGTCGGGACTAGTCGTTATAGCGTGAGGATGATATTTTTAGGTGTAAGGGTACGTGTGTATGTGCGTATGTATGCGTGTATGTGCGCACGCGTTTATCATCATATATCGTATATATATATATATATATATATATATATATATATATATATATATATATATATATATATTTATTTATTTATTTATTTATTTATTCATTTATTTATTTATATATTTATATATCATATATCGTAATACTTTGCACAGATTCTTTTATTTTTTTGTTATTCTAGTGATCATGTGGAAAAAGGAGTGTGGGCGTTAAGTCTTAGTGTTTAATAGCTAATTATTATTAATTATTAATAGGGAAAATTTATTCATTTAATTGCAACCTCCATTCATAAGCGTATAATGTCGTAGTTTTGTTATATGAGAATCGACGAGGCACATTTTGACAAGAAAGCTGTTGTCTCCTACACCCAAGCTGTATTTCAGTGCATCAATACGGTCCCACACAACTTGTCAAGCAAATGGAAACTTTATTTCTAACAGATCTGCAAATAGTAAAAACACGCGCACACGCGCGCACACGCGCACGCGCACGCGCACGCGCACGCGCACGCGCACAATGAATCAAACAGATAGATATTGGGAGAGGGAGGTAAGTACGGAATGAGAGAGGGAGGAAGGCAGGGAGGTAGGATAGAGAGGGGGCGTTTCAAGTAATATTGGGGGCGTTTCAATAAAAAGCATAAACGTTTATATAGTCTGAATCCGTAGTTATATCTAGCTGGTTGACAGTGGTTGTTGCTTATTCCAGGCATTATAGTGTTAATATCGGAATACCAATAGTGTGAGAAATGCAAGAGAATGAAAACATACATGCCCTAAAACTCTCGTTCGGCAAAATGCGCGTTCGTGCTGTTTATATGTAATTGGCTGGCTGCTCGAATAACATTCACTGGGGAATTGTCCAATCTACCGACGCACCGACCGACCGACCGACCGACAGACCGACCGATCGACCGACCGACCGACTGGCTGACTGGCCGCACGCTTATTACATTGATCTTCACCAAAATTATAGACAATTCAAACATGGTTCACGCCTGCAGAAGGTGGAAGTGGGTCGTTGAAATACTATAAAATCTACTTGGTTGTACCCTCTATTGCATTAATTTAAAGGGCTGCATAAAAGTTTAATAGGTAACACATTCGTGCCTACTCTAGTTGCCTCTTACCGATATTCCGTGTTTCGGTTACTTATACAATACAGATTATTATGCGAGCGCACGTCGTCATCATCATCATAAATACAAATTTCCACATAAACTACCTCAGCGATCCAATAGCTCATAATTAACTCGCAAATGTCAAATACGCACGACTAACACGCAACGCTCCCTCCCGCACGCCACAGACGCGCGCGCGCAGACAAACAGGAAGTCGAGCGTTTACGAATTCCCAGAATGCAGCAGCTCGCGGCCACCCGTTCGCCATCGCTGTGCTGCTGCCCGCGCGAACATGCTGATCTTATAGATCCGTGTTAAGACGTGTATTGCAATAATGCGCCTCTTGATCCTGGCGCCTGGCGTTTAATGAGGTCGCCCCTCGGGCGATAGTCGCTCACTTGCAGCGTCGGCGCGCGACCGACGACGCCGACGACTGCACGCACAATAGCGGCTTGTTACATTGCTTGTACGAGGCGTGTGTGTGAGAGAGGGAGAGAGTGGGGGAGAGAGTGGAGGGAGAGAGCGCGCGAGAGAGAGAGAGAGCGAGAGATAGAGAGAGAGAGAGCGAGCGAGCGAGCGAGAGAAGATGGAGAGAGCGAGAGAGAGGGAAAGAGAGAGAGAGAGAGGAGGGGGAAAGAGAGAGAGAGAGAGAGAGAGAGAGAGAGAGAGAGAGAGTAGTTCATGTTATAAACATTTGACGTCATATGCGCCACATTTACACGAGTTGGCAGCAAGCAGTATTGCGTGATATTGTTCGATACAGCACACGCACGCTGACGCACGCAACGTGTAACGTAACACACGCACGGCACGCACGCACGTGTACGATGCCAACACACATACACACATCATATCACGCACGGGTACGTCCAACACGCACAGACACGCACGCACGCACCACACGCATGCCACGCACGTGTACTGATGCACACGCCCGCACGTGTACCGCCACACACAACGCACGTTACGCACGCAGCGCACCACAATGCACACACGGTCTGACCCTGCTACACGTACACACGCACGCACGGCACGCACGCACGCACGAACGCATGTACCTGACACACGCGCGCACACACCGGCGCGACAGCACGCACGTGTACAGTGCAACACACACGAACGCACCACAGCACGGCACGTGATTCAGCACGACGACGGAGTGTAGCGCTATCACACGCAACGCACCGCGACGTGTACTGCACGACTGCACGACACTTTGCACGCACGAGTAACGTTGCAAGCACATGCACGACTGACGTGCCCGCACGACCGACCACGCACGTATACGTGCACGATGCCACACGCGCGCACGCAGCACGCACGCCACGCACGTGTACGTGCACACACTCGACGCACGCGACGCTACGCACCGTGTACGTTGCACAACGCACGCACACAACTACATGCACGCCACGTGTACGGTGCACACGCACGCACGCACGCATTGGCACGCACGCATGCACGATCCACGTGTTACGTGCCTCACGCACGCACGCACGGCACACACGCACCGATGCACGCACGTGTACGTGCACGCACGCACGCACGTGTACGGTGCACACGCACGCACGCCCAGCACGCCCACGTGTACGTGCACACTCATAAGACAGCACTTTCTATCAGAACATGGTGGTCAATTTCATCTGAATAGTCAAGCATCACGCTTCGCTTCTGCCAAACCAACAACACCATAACAAATACACGATGACCTGATCTTATGACTTGGCACGTTGAAACATCGCTATGTAGACCTGCGCGATAGGTGTGCGTATGTTAAGCTAGTGAATTAGAACCCGCTTAAAATTCGAGCATGTTTCTCTGGCCCAGCAATTGATCCCGTTGCGCTGACCTTTCGAATTTGGCGCACGGAATCAATATGTTGCCAGCGCGATGATACTTTCGTAGGACGTTCCCGCGGTCTCGCGTGCCGCCTTGCCGCGGAACTGCCGCGCAAGAAGGATCCGCCGCACTTAGCGGGCAGTATCAAACACCTCTCGGCGACGCCTCTCTGGCTATTCGGGTGTTCTCATCTTGGATCTTTACTAGTACGGCGCGTAATAAGCCCACTTCTTTCCCTCGTTCGTGTGTTTAGTATAATGCAAATGTTCTTGCGGCACATTATCTCTCAATTTGTTACTGTCTGTGTACATTATTGTGCTAACATAAGGACCTATATGTTCTACTACACTGACATAAAGTAGATCCACGTCATCATTTACGCGCGCACTAATATCCCTCATCA